TCAAAATATTTATAAACAAAAGACAGAATTAATGTACTCTTAGGCTATTAGGAACGACGAGAGGCCACTTGTTTGTAAAGACAATGACTAAGAAGCATACAGCATGCATCTATGTGTAACTAACACTAGGGGGAGCTAGAACACTCTTTCAATATACAGAAAGGATGTTGATGTTGTGCAGGGGGTTTGCAGGTACTTTACAGTACTCCCCCAAAGAACTGCCTGTAGGTTGAGATCGCTCTGGCTTGGGAGTAAACCTGGCACTGGCAGAGATGTTTTGCTAGGTAGGTCTCAGATCATGGTTACCAATTTGGATCCAGGTTTTGGAGGCTATTTTTGAATGTGCACAGTGCTTTTTCCTCTGCTTACCATCTTCACACTAAATGTGGCTGTTGGAGAATTATCTATGAATCTTTAAAACTGACCACTAGGATAACTGATCCAAAATGCTTTTCTGGGCTGAGTTTACTAGAAACAATGGAGCCCACTGGTCATTTGTTTTAATTGACTTTTTTTTTTTTATCAACTACAATTATAATCCATTTGTTTTTCCAGCAGGTTTATGTTCTCATTGTCAATAAAGTAAACCCCAGTATTCTATATCCTGGTATGACTTTGCTCTCTCCGCATCCCCAACACATTCCATGTATTTCTCCTGCAGCCCCTGGTTTGCAATGTTTTCACTGCTAAGGGTCCCAAAATGTTTGTAACCAAAAAGAATAATTTGAGGCACTTTCCATTCTAGTAACTTACAGTGGCACTAAGGATACGATACTTGGTACACCAAAAAGGATATTGTCTGCAAGAGCGCTATTCCAGGGTCACCTGCTAGATCTGGGATCTCAGATGCCTCAGAGCATCCAGAGTCATTCAAAAATGTTGACGCACAAATGATAACTCACACCCCTGACATTGTCTTGCTGATATTTATCTATCGAGACACCAATGTGCACTGGTTGATTATCTTACTGATTTTCACTATGTATGAATTGGCCCACTCTAAGGAACCACATTAAAGGTTTATGTTTGGGTGCCCAGTCTCCGATGTTCATTTTGTTCCATACTCCGTGCTACTTTATTTACCTTATCTCAGGTGGCCATTAGATGGCAGCAACCAGTTGGACTCCATGTCTGCTTGTGTGAATCTGTCAACATAGAAACATAGAATGTGATGGCAGATAAGAACCATTCGGCCCATCTAGTCTGCCCAATTTTCTAAATACTTTCATTAGTCCCTGGCCTTATCTTATAGCTAGGATAGCCTTAAACCTATCCCACGCATGCATAAACTCCTTTCCTGTGTTAACGTCTACCACTTCAACTGGACGGCTATTCCATGCATCCACTACCCTCTCAGTAAAGTAATACTTCCTGATATTATTTTTAAACCTTTGCCCCTCTGATTTAAGACTATGTCCTCTTGTTGTGGTAGTTTTTCTTCTTTTAAATATAGTCTCCTTTACTGTGTTGATTCTTTATGTATTTAAATGTTTTTATCATATCCCACCTGTCTCGTCTTTCCTCCAAGCTATACATGTTAAGTTCCTTTAACCTTTCCTGGTAAGTTTTATCCCGCAATCCATGAACCAGTTTAATAGCCCTTCTCTGAACTCTCTCTAAAGTATCAATATCCTTAGCGCTGTGAAATTTTCGCGTATGCCCAGTTAAACACTTGGGCATTCGCTTTGTGAATTTCGTCTATTCATTCGTCAGAAAGATGAATGAATAGAAATTTCAGACGAACAAACAAACACCAAATATTGGTGTTTGTTCGTTCAGTTTAATACAAGGAGGGAGCTACCGGCGCGCAGCTCCATCCTTGAATTTTTTTTAAATAGAAGCCTCAGGGAGCAGTGCTAAGTGCTACCCTGTTTAAGCTAGATGAGATTTTTGACAAAATTCTGGCAGAAGCTGGAGAGTAAGATGAGGCGGGCGGCGCTGCCACAGCCGAGTGGCCACTTACCTCAGAAGTTAAAGCAAATCCCACAGCAGAAGCCCAGGGCTCCAGCAGTACAAAAGGCCCCAAAATGGAGCTGGAAAGGGAAGCATCCATCGTGTCAACGAAAGGCAGTCGGACAGCGAGAACAGCTGCGACCTAGCGCTGGGACTCAACTTTTATGAGGTACTGGAGAGAACCCTGACTGTGACAAAAAGCCTGCCTAGCTGATGCACCTCGAGACAATAATCATTTTTATTGTAAGTTTGTAATGTCTCAAACTACATTAGCCTTCTCCGCTCACAAGTTTAGCACCTGACTTTACCGTAGACATGTCAAACTAGCCTGTTTCAGCCTGCTATTCATATACCTTAAGCTTGAATAATATGGATTTAAAAGTCTGTGTTTTATTTCTGACATGTATGCCTAATCTGTTATTGTTTATTATTTTCCAAAACACGAGGTAAAGCCAATGGACTGTACTCCATTACAATAGTTACAGTTTATCATATTGTACTAATTTTAACTCTTCACCTTAGCCTATCTAACCTAGAATATATTTACTACCAAATATAGTAGCCTAGCAAGTTCCTTGTTGTATTATTATATTTAAAAAAAAAAAAAAAAAGAATGCAATATCTATGACATACCAATGTTTGCTTGGTCTTTCAGCCTTTTGGTAGATAACTTCCTTTTACCGTGGGAATTAGGGAGCTATCTATTAATCGGCTGCAAGATGCAGCCGCAGCACGGATGGAATTTAATTCATTTGAATAAAATTCTGATCGAAACAAAAGTCCAGAATTTCGTCCTAAGATTCTTTTATAGCGAAATTCAATAGTTTTGCCGGCGTTCGGAAATACGGAAAGGAGGCATCGCGAGAGCACAGAGGAAAGGTGAGAATTGTGGGAAAATTTCTCTGACCACAGGAAATGGAGCACACTTTGCTTCTCCGCTGGTCATAGATGGTCAGGCGTAGGAAACCTACATAAGACAAATAGTCCCTACTTTGTCTTATGTTTTAAATAAAACTAGAGCAGACAGGAAGAAATGAAGAACAGATTCTGAGAGAGGGAGAGAAGAGGAAGCAATTAGGGAAAGGTAAGTTCGGTATGACAGTGCCTCTTTAAATGCTTCATTCTTTCTTGTTTAAAGGGACACTCCAGACCCCTTAAGTACTGTAGCTTGCTGAAAAGTTTTTTGTTTGAAGTGGGTGTCCTCTTTTTTTTCATTTTGCATATTTCAGTAGAAAATGAGACTTTTAAAAATTAACCTGGTAACACCCCCTGGCTTATAAACTGACAGCAGGTCCTGTTACTTCCTGGTTTGGTTAGCTCAGTGGCGTTTGAGGCAGACATTTCTCAGAGCACCTGTCTTGCAAATACTTCTCATTGAGCTGCACTGGGTTGTCTGTGATTTGACAGCCAGAGAAAGGCTGGGTGGGGAGAGAAGCATACTACCCAAGTGTCCCTATTTAGGAGGGACAGTCCCTATTTAAAAATCCCTATGTTGCTGTTTTCTATATTAATGTCTGCTTGCAAAGGCAGCAGACAAGAGAACTTCAGTTTTTCCAGCTGTTTTTAGATTTAGCCCTAATGAAAAATGCATTATTAAATACATGCAAGTGTTAATTGTGGTTATATCTACTAAACAGTGAATTTTTATTTATTTTGTATTGCGGCAGTGGAGTGTTCCTTTATGTGTTTGCAGATGGCGGATAGCAGACACTCCAAGGACTCTTCACTCAGGGTTATTCGTTAAAGTGTGAAATTAGAATTTTAGTTAGTAGCCGAAATAGAATCATAGCTGGCTTTGGACCAATTAAATATTTTTGGATAAGCTTTTCAAATGATTTACTATTTATGGAATTTTGGAATAACTTTTAGAAAGATCATTTTTGTCAATCTTTGTTTTATTGAAGCAATATGAGTATGTTACAGAAAGAAAGAAAAGGAGGAATATATCAGTGAAAATGCACACGTATACAGTAACCAATAACATCGATATATGCTCACATGAGTGGCTGCTTCACTTTATGTTTTAAAGGACCTCGCTTTGTCAGGTTAGATAGGCATATATAATTATTATAAAGTAACAGTAGAGCAGATTAATACATGCTAGGTGTAGCTTTCGTGTGAGAGTAGGTAGCGTTTACATAATTTAAGCTTTTCATGTAAAATGTATATTAAGGTAAACATGCTAAGCTATGATAGTAGGCATTATAAATGCACTATGGCATATGAGTATACTGTACACATTGTTAGAATAATAAAAAGGGTAGACAGTGGAGAGATGGAACATATTATAAGAGACTAGCTTGTCTTACTGTCTGTGATAATAATATAAGTTAAAGTTCCACGTTTATGGTACATGCTGGGCAAATTTTAAAAAATCACGTTGCTTAAGGAGATGTACATTCAAGAAGATAGGTAACTGTCTGAGTACACATTAGTAAAAAAATAAAACATAGCTATGTGCGATTAGTCGGATGTGTAAGCATAAGACTAGGTAAACTAGGAATTGTGCTAAACTGTGTCGTTCAGAAATAACTAAGAAAATCAAATGTATACAAGCCACATAAGCCACTGAGTCCCCATATACCCATGCGCTACTGAGGTTGCCGCTTAGAGTAAGCCCTCCACCGTTTATACCCATTGGCTGGTGAAACATTAGTGCAGGCCGGTGGTGATGACCACATGGATAACATCATAATGTGTCTGAGGACCAGTCCTGCAAAATGGGTCCAGCTTCAACTGATGCTGGTGTCCGGGAGCCCATTGAAGCAGCTGTGGAGCGGTGGAAGGCAGGGGCAAAGATCAGCGTCCCTCCAGCCCTGGGCTCTGATGAGAGCTCGCATCTCATCACCACAGATTCAGTAGCTCGTGTTGGAGTCCGGATCCTTTCCAGGTCGGGGAAAGCTGGAGCTCCTGGTGTTTCTTCGCTGCCTGCTTCTGTGGACGATGCCGGGCGTGTACCTCCCTGTGGGCTCTCAGCCCAGGTGGGTCAGTGTATGCTGGTACTAGCTGAGACGTGGTAGTTGGGGCCTGCTCGTTCCCCGCTCCGCTCACCACTCCAACCCCGGATCGGCTTTTGGGTGGTCCTTGGCGTGAGAGCGGTTGGCATTCTCCTCAATCCTGGTTACAGTAGCTCCTTGTTGGTTGGTAGGATTTTCAGCCTCTGGTTTAGGGGGCTGTTGGTGCATGTCCCGTCGAATTTGGGCGTCTTTGGTGGGCGTCTGCCCGGTTGAGATTCCTTCTGGGCCATCGGCAGATGAAGGGCATTGTGTGGGCAGGGGGGAGCCTCTTAGTCTGTTCTCCAGAGGAAGCCAAAATGCTGCAAAGATGGCGTTGATACTGTCAAGTGTAGTGCTTGGCTGCGTTTCTGCAGGAGGCCCACGTGGGTGCTCTGCCATGCAAGGTGTAGTGGGTTGCCGTTGAGGTTGTTGCGTTAGGGTATGCAAGCGGCCTCCTGGGACCGGGAGACCGGCCGTCTCTCCCACGCCAGCCATGCCTGCAGGCCTCATAGTACAGTCGGGGAGGTCTTGCTGGTAGGTCTGCATGTGTGGTACCGTTAGACGCCCCTTGGTGTCACCGCTTGCTTAGCAGCCGTATTTGTCAAGTATAGGCAGTTTTGAAGCAGTTATGCCGCAATCTTTGCCTCTGTGAGCAGGAGCTGCTGCGATTAGTGTCTGCTCAGCTCGGAGGTCAGGCCCCGCCAACCAGAAAGATCATTTAAATATATTAAAAATACATATAATATAAAAAAAATATCAATATAGTAAAACATATCAAACTGTTACAATATTAAAAAAAAATCAAAATATTAAATCATATTTAAAGTCTATCCAAAAAATATTAAATCACTTGAAAAGCTTATCCAAAATATTAATTTGGGGCCTTAGAGAGTCAGGAAGTATTTTTGAGTTTGAATTCACGTTGAATTTTCCCATTAGTGAATAACTTTGGCTGATGTTGGGACTTGAAATTCCATAAGGCAGGCACGCATATTTGCAAACATGACTGAAAAATTTGGTTCTGCACCATTTATGAACTGTTGCAACATATGCAGTCGGCTTTTTACGATCCCATCCAATCTGTGGGACGACTCCAAGTGTTTAGTAGGGCCACTGTAAGCACCATAACCACAACAACCCATTCACATCCCAGCCACTGCTCCCTGCAACCCATTCCAGCACCAGAAAATGTTCCATTGACACCCATTCCTAAACCAGCCACTACTCCAATGCATACCCACTAAAAACTGTAAACACACTAGTGGAAGAATACAAAGATAAAACCGTAATTACGCTTATACAAATGTAGATTTAAAAAAAGGCTCCTTTTAGTCTTCATAAAACACATAAAACACCAATATCTACAAAAATGAAAAACAAATAGTGTAACACTGTTAGACTTAATGGGAATTTTGGTAAGTATTACACTCACATACACATCTTGGTAGTACGCAAAATAATACATCACAGGTTTCTTCACTCTTCACAGGCTTCCAAGTTACAGCACCACATAAGAAGAGAAATAAAAAAAAAGGGGTACATAGAATAGATCTTTACATATAAAATCCCTCTATTTATTAATATGTACTCTCAAGATTAAAATAAATGACAGATTATCACCAGTCTCCACTTGGAGTTCCCAGAGATCAGGATATCCAGTAGGAAAATGTTTGTGAACTTGCAAACTATATAAGTATATAAACTAATATAAATAAAAAATTCAAGATATAATACAGAATTTAAAAGTATATGTCCGCCCTATGCGTTTCGTCCACACTCTGGACTTCCTCAAGGAAAAGAAATCAAAGTCTGTGTTATCAGGCATTTCTCTGCCACAGAGAAATTAACCATAAGGTGACCATAGACAGTCGCCTAGGGCCCAGGGGTTAGACAGGGGCCCCAGAACCATGAATTTGCTTGGCCCTATTATCCATTCCTGTCTGAAGAATGAAAGGGTGGGGCACACTGGTAATATGCATAGGGCCCTGTGGGATCTTAATCCTACTCTGCCCGTTCTAATGAAAGGATGTCCCAAATTAATTGTCTTTAAAATTAGGGAAAAGGTCCTGTACAGAACCCTTCTTTACTATCACCTCCCTTTCTCCTTTACAGCAACCCCTTGATTCTTTTTCACTGTTTTTCTAGTCACCCGTATTAAAGATAACCCCTTTCCATCCAAACTCCCATCCATGGAAAAGATATATCACTTTCCTTGATTACTGAGGATGCTTCACTAGATAGTCACTTACCTCTTCATGGATATCCCACTTCTTACCGCACCTAAACATGCCCCCTTTATTGCAGTACAAATTTCCCTTCCCACCCTTCTCCAGAGATCCACTCTCTCCTTTAAACATCTATAACTTAGTTCTGGATCCACATCTGAACTCACTACACTGTTCGTCCTGTCTCTTTGCCACCGGGGACCTCCAAGAGAAATCACTGCAACCTTTTCTATCAGCTCTGTTTGACTAGCAGCCTAGCTCCCTGTTGATTTTCCTATACAAAGATAGATAGCTCTGTGAACTTCATTCAACCATCAGCCAGCCACGTGATGGTGTGATCACCAGCTCTTCTCTAATTCTCCCTAGACATCAGACAAATCCTAATGTATGGAAAATTGAATGACTGCTTTATTAAGGAACGCACATTGTTTATACAAAGGGAAGTAGAACCAATGAAAAGGCAAGGAACACACACACACCTCCAGCTCCAGTGTGTTTGGGCTATGTTAGACATGATGCTTGGGGGATGGGAGGCCGACATTCTATGTATGTTAATGAGATAACCTAAAAGAAAAGAATTTTCTAAAACTTTCTCTTCTCTGTCTCCAGTCTCCCTTCCCTCTTCAAAGACTTCTCAGAACTCAGAGAGAAGGTTGAACTGCACTTACTGCAGGTGAGCTCTACAGAACCAGTGGCACTGCCTAATCTGGCAGGTACAAAGTTATCTTATGAGGAGGGAGGGCAGAAGTATGTCGTTGCTGCACTGTACAGGGAGTGCAGAATTATTAGGCAAGTTGTATTTTTGAGGATTAATTTTATTATTGAACAACAACCATGTTCTCAATGAACCCAAAAAACTCATTAATATCAAAGCTGAATATTTTTGGAAGTAGTTTTTAGTTTGTTTTTAGTTATAGCTATGTTAGGGGGATATCTGTGTGTGCAGGTGACTATTACTGTGCATAATTATTAGGCAACTTAACAAAAAACAAATATATACCCATTTCAATTATTTATTATTACCAGTGAAACCAATATAACATCTCAACATTCACAAATATACATTTCTGACATTCAAAAACAAAACAAAAACAAATCAGTGACCAATATAGCCACCTTTCTTTGCAAGGACACTCAAAAGCCTGCCATCCATGGATTCTGTCAGTGTTTTGATCTGTTCACCATCAACATTGCGTGCAGCAGCAACCACAGCCTCCCAGACACTGTTCAGAGAGGTGTACTGTTTTCCCTCCTTGTAAATCTCATATTTGATGATGGACCACAGGTTCTCAATGGGGTTCAGATCAGGTGAACAAGGAGGCCATGTCATTAGATTTTCTTCTTTTATACCCTTTCTTGCCAGCCACGCTGTGGAGTACTTGGACGCGTGTGATGGAGCATTGTCCTGCATGAAAATCATGTTTTTCTTGAAGGATGCAGACTTCTTCCTGTACCACTGCTTGAAGAAGGTGTCTTCCAGGAACTGGCAGTAGGACTGGGAGTTGAGCTTGACTCCATCCTCAACCCGAAAAGGCCCCACAAGCTCATCTTTGATGATACCAGCCCAAACCAGTACTCCACCTCCACCTTGCTGGCGTCTGAGTCGGACTGGAGCTCTCTGCCCTTTACCAATCCAGCCACGGGCCCATCCATCTGGCCCATCAAGACTCACTCTCATTTCATCAGTCCATAAAACCTTAGAAAAATCAGTCTTGAGATATTTCTTGGCCCAGTCTTGACGTTTCAGCTTGTGTGTCTTGTTCAGTGGTGGTCGTCTTTCAGCCTTTCTTACCTTGGCCATGTCTCTGAGTATTGCACACCTTGTGCTTTTGGGCACTCCAGTGATGTTGCAGCTCTGAAATATGGCCAAACTGGTGGCAAGTGGCATCGTGGCAGCTGCACGCTTGACTTTTCCCAGTTCATGGGCAGTTATTTTGCGCCTTGGTTTTTCCACACGCTTCTTGCGACCCTGTTGACTATTTTGAATGAAACGCTTGATTGTTCGATGATCACGCTTCAGAAGCTTTGCAATTTTGACTTTTCTGAGCCTGTCAAGTCCTTCTTTTGACCCATTTTGCCAAAGGAAAGGAAGTTGCCTAATAATTATGCACACCTGATATAGGGTGTTGATGTCATTAGACCACATCCCTTCTCATTACAGAGATGCACATCACCTAATATGCTTAAATGGTAGTAGGCTTTCGAGCCTATACAGCTTGGAGTAAGACAACATGCATAAAGAGGATGATGTGGTCAAAATACTAATTTGCCTAATAATTCTGCACTCCCTGTATGTGTGATGGGTATCTCTACAAAGTGTATCGCCAACGGCACTGGGTTCTGTACTAACGCAATTATTAGTGTAGCATAACTTTCTGGTAAATTCACTGCTTGTGTCCTGAGATTCTCTTGCACAGACAGGTCGGTTGAGTTTTGCGCCATTATAAATGTGTGGGTTACTTCAAGTGCAATGTTATCAGTTCTTACATCATACTGATCATCTGGTATTTTCCCTTTAACTTTTAAAAAAGGAAGGAGAAGATAGGCTGATGTTGATCAGCGTATCCTTATGTGAGATCCTGATGTTGTCTTCTGGGTGAATTATAATTGGCGCATAAGTACTTTATCAATTTATATGAACTTCATGAATCTGCTCCACCAAGCATGTCAAACTCAAAGTCTAGCACGGGCCACATAAACAAAGCTTAAGTTTATGTGGGCCGCAAAAAAACAACTACTTAAATTTCCATAGAAACGTAGGTTTATTTTTATACCGCATCCCCCTATACTAAATCCCAGTCCACCCCATATACTAAATCCCAGTCCTCCCCCTATACTAAATCCCATTCCTTCCCCCCTCTACTAAATCCCAGCACCCCCCTCTAGCCAGCAAGCAGACTCCACTTACATTGCTGCTGCCAGTATGCGACTCTGGAGTCCGGCCTCTGGTATTCCCCAAAAGGCACCATCCGCACCCTGTGCCAAAGCGGAATCCTCCCGCTACTTCTTGAAACCCGGAATGTGACATGGCGTGTGACGTGGCGTGCCTCCATGCACCTCCAGGTACTCCACTGGCCAGCTGCGGCCATCAAAACACTGACCGGCACACACTCACTGACACACACACACACACTCTATAATATAAAAACAAATTAAAAAATCAATAAAAGTACC